ATCACAGGTGTTGTCCTCGTTGCTTAATCCCCAGCTCTGAAGCCACTGCAGTACAACAGCGATGGGCTGAGCAAGGCGACCAACGCAGAACGGAACAGAACAGTCTCTGCAGCGCTGCACTGACACCCTGGCTTTTCCCACGCAGGGACAGAAACAGCAGAACAGAGAGAGGGTCTTCGGTCTGCAGGCGGCCGTGGTCCCGCAGCGCTCGGGAGGCTCTAACGCAGACCCTGGCGTTACGCTGCTGCTTGTCACCCCTGGGCACAGCAGCACAGCTCCAAGGACGGGGATGTGACAGCTAGAAAAATGAGACGGCGTGCAAAGCGCAGGAGAGCAAGAGGCGCGTACGCCCTCGCTGCAGGTACAGATCCCAACAGGAACATCCAGTTATTCCACTATGCGCTGCGTTAACACACGCTTTTACCAAAAGGGAGATGGACAGCTTTTAATGGAGGCCTCCAAGGAAAGGAAAGGTGGTGGTGTCCTAGTTACTGTTAATTCCAGTTAATTCTCTCATTTACCAGACTCTCTGGTGATGAATGCAGATGGACTGGCAAGAAGGCACACATCAAAAGCTATGTGCTCAAATCAACACCGCTCAGAACCCTGCAGCCCTGCGCCCTAGAACATCCAGTCCAGTTCACAAAGAGAATGTTCTAATTTTTAAAAAGTTGTAAATAAGATGAAAAAAGAGCAATTAAATTTGAGGATACAGAATTTCTTTAAACAGTGAGGCAACCTAAAGCCTTAGTCATTAGAAAAACTATCCAGTCATTCCCTACCCCTGTGACACCGAAGTCTGCCACGCAGCCTATTATTTGATTTCTCATCTGAGGTTCTACCCGTCATGCACACAAACCAGTCTGTCAGCAGCAGCAGTACAGGATTACCTCACCTGTGCTGTACTTAACTCATATTTAATGCAGCTGGCAGCCTGTAGGGGAACGACAGAAAAAAAACAACCGGCCAAGCGCATAAACGGCACAAAGTGAAAAGTATTCTGGTTTAAAAAGCTACCTGAGTAAAGCAGCAGCTTCTAGTGCATCTTCAAAACCATCCAAGGAAAATATATTTGTAAATAAGAATGAGACAGCTGGTTAGGATGAAATGGGTCAGGAGAACCGGACAGGGAGGGGAACAGCGCGTTGCCCAGCGCAGACACACCACACTCCAACATGGGAACAAGCCATGGGCAGAGCGCACGGTCAGGGAACAATTATAATCTTAAAATACGCTTTCAAGAGAAGGCAGTGTGCATCTCCCCTTCCAAGAGAACACGCAGGAAAGGGCAACTCTCCGTGTGATTGCTGCCTTCCCTGGAGTCTGCAATGCTGGGGGCTTTATCCAAAAAAAAAAAAGTTTCCAGAGCAGAGGGATCCACCAGATGCGACTCAAACGAGCCTTGCTCGCCCCCCGCCATGTAGATAACGAGGCCATGCTGCTCCAGGTGCTCTGTCCACACCAGCAGCCCTTCCCTGAGGGACTCGGGTGGGAACCTGCGGAAGCCCCTCTGGACGGGGGAGCCGGAGCAGGGTCACCTCCTGTGTCCCCAGATGCTGCCACACCACCAGCTCCGCAGCCATCCCGCCCGCACTGCGCTGCTCTGCACAAACCTGCTCCTTTGAGACGTCAAAGCCTCAGAGAACAGCAGCAGAGGGGAAAGCCCATAGTGCCCGAGGAGGGCAGCGGCCAGCAGGCGTTTCGGGAACAGCCTCCGCTGAGCGCGGGTGTGCCGGCACGGCAGGAGACGGGACCCATGCGGGGCAGTCAGCTGTCACCGCTTACATCCAGGAGGAGTTTGCTGCTTTTTTTTTTTCCCAACCCATATCCTGTTGGGATATTTTTTGTACGTGTTTTAACATTAAAACCATCAGGAATAAGAGGGCACAGATCACACATCCCGAGGATTGATCCTAACCGTTCTGCAGGAACAACGCAAGAGCTCCCAGTATGACCAGTATCCCCCTGGGCAGGGAGAGCGTGGGGACACCTCCGCTGGCCGGGAGGATGGATACAGCAGGGAGCCGCCCGGTCGGCGCTCTGGGCTGGAATCAGCAAACGCACATGGGACTCACTAAAAGCAAGAAGCGCTGACTTGCCAAGCTCCCATCACCTGGGCAGCGCATCCCCGTGCTGCGTTGGGACGACACGGAGCCCCAAGCCGAGCAGCCAGGCTGCTCCAGCACGCACGGGGGGGTTGCGGTAACACATCCCCTGGGGCAGCAAGAAACAGGGACCGGCCAGAGGACAGCTGGGCAGAGATCCCGGCAGCCAGGGAGCTTTCCCACCAGCGCCAGAAAGCATCCATCCGACTTTCTGATGGAAACCAAGAGACAAAACCTCTGGCGAGCGAGGGGCTGCCTGTACACGAAGCGGCATTCACAGACACTACCTGGTGCAAGACTTTTGCGGTCTCTTAGTGACAACATCCACCTAAAAGGGCAGATGCAGAGGTGGAAAAATGCAGGAGCCTTTTTTTGACAGGATTTGCGGCAAATCCCTTTGGGATCTGGAGTAACTGACTGTACATGAAAAGTCCCCCGAGCACAGATCCGATCCCAGCTCCACCGAACCCTGCGGCGTTTCCCAGGGCTACAGCATGGGAACCCAGGACCAGTGCTGCCTCGAATCTCAGGCAGCACAACCCCTGCTGCAGCGACTTCTCTGCGCTGAGACTGGGAGCGCCTGGCCTGAAGAGCCTGAGAGCAGGGAGCTTTCCAGGGACTAGCACCAGGAATTATGCAGACTTAAAAGGAACTCTGAAAAGCAGGGAAATAAGCATCTTATTTGCATAAGATATACATCTTTTCATAAAATCACATATTCTTTTGATCTCTGTGCCTCCTGGGCAAAAAAGGATAGGTGCAAATTATAAACAAGAGCAAAAAAGCAATGGGTTACTGCTTCGCAGAGCAAGAGAAAAGAAAATATCTCAAACACCCCTAACGATCTCACTGTGGACCCCAATTATTATCAGAGCAAACGATGCCAGACATGAAGCTAAACCGACAAAAAGCTTAAATTATCAGTACTGAAGTTTTTACTGCTGCTCTAAAATGCAGTGATTTGCTTTACTGCCATCTACTGACACTGCAACGCAGCTCACGGCACAGCGATAATCCTGCAACACAAGTTTGTATCTGCAAACGGGATTCAGGAACTTCATCACTGACTCATCCCCCTACGCGAGGCAGTCGCTCTGGTGTAATTGCTGAGACCTGAGCCATTCTGCTAGCTTCCCTATAAAAACTTGTAAAGAGAAAGTGAAGCATGGAAAAGTCACGGCATCTGCATGCTGCAAGAGTAAAGCGATAATCAGGGACGTGGTCTTGTGAATCAGCATTGTCAAAATCCCTCTGAACAGTGTCAGAACGCTGTGACGCCGTCACAGCACAAAGCGCAGTTTTACTCTGCTCGCTGTGGGCTGGCTTCTGCACCACTTCAAACCATGAGAAAGGAACAGGAACATAACATATCCATCAGATTTCCACCCCAATCCGCTGGATACATTATGAATTTACACACACATATCTCATAATTACACGTGAAACTCTTTTACTTCCAGAAGTGAGAGATTATAAACTTTAAAAAAATTCCACTCTCAGGCATCTGTCACCGCCATGTCCAAGCCAAAAAATAATCAGGATGTCCAAGCGAGGGACGTCAGGAGTAAGGTCAAGGGCCCTTACCAAGGAGGGGGAAAGCAGACGGTGGCAGATCTAACAAAGGCATGAAGCCATTAAACCAGTTCTGGCAGCTGGGAGACAAACGTCACCTGCTGCAGTGACTGGGATGACACACTTGCACGTGTTTGTATCTGTAGAGCTGGGAAGGGCAGTACAGAAATACCCGCCCGGAGAACACCGAACCCAGTGCCATCTAAGAAAAGGACGTTCGTGGCCAGGCTGTTAGAGGCTCACGAGTCAGAGCCCAGGTTTCTGCAGAGGTTTAGTCCAAATATTTTTAAAAGAAATTGAAATAAGAGAGTTTTAAAAAGTTTCAATCCAACATATTTTTACAGAAGTTAAGAAGCTTTAACTGCAGTTTGCTGGGACAAAAACCCACAAGCTCACGCAGCTAAGGACAATAAAAAGCCACTGCGCAGTGGCACCCATCCCGGGGAGGCACCGAGGGGACAGGAACCCCAGCACAGCCGCCTGCCACCCGCCTGGCGCAGCTCTAGGGAGGAACTGGGGAAGGGAGACGCCAGGCAGTGTCAGACGAGGTGTGTCAGTGGTGACAGGGAACCAGCCCCACCGAACATCCTGTCTGAAACCCCCCTGGTAAAACAGCGCACGGCATTGTCAGGGGGACGCACGGAGGATGGTCTTAGCTGGAGCAGGCACAGAGCAGGGCTGGTGTCCTCGAGCCTTACAGCCACGTGGGAAGGGTTTGGGCTTCCCATCGAGCGAACCCTCAGTAGAGCAAGAACCATCCGCAGGGGTCCGGGTGCCAGGGATGGAGCCGGGCTCTTTCAACGAAAGGCACTGGTACCAGAGTACAGGAGACAGAAAGCTGCCACGGAGATGTTCAGGCTGGAAATCAGAATAATGTTGATAAATATTACAGCAATAAGGCTCCAGTACAGCTTTGTTAGGGACTGGAGAAACAGTTTTAGCAGTGAAACTGAGCTGGAGACAGGGCGATAGCTCTGACAGTGACACTGACAGGCTGGCAGAAGTGATGTGGCAGGAGTGCCTGCAACGGTGCAGCGGGTGCCCGGCTGTAAGCACAGACGTGGCAATGGCACCTCGACCGCAGGAGAGCTGTGCAGATCCCAGGTCAGCCATCAGCACAACTCACCCTTGCATCGGGAATTCTGGAGGATGCTCATTTCACAGAGCAGAGAAAGCTGGGGCCTTCTGTTCTGCTTTGGTTTTAATGCCGATTTATCTTCCGCAGAATGTAAAGCTGGCACAGCCCATGCTGCCTCCGGGATCTCCGTCTGCCAGTGGGACTCCTGAAAAGCATTCAGCTGAAAACCTACAGCAACGCAAACGATGGGGTACAACCTGTCTTATGGAAAACTGCCAGGTAACGTGGCGCTAGAAACGGTACTGGCAGGGAGCTCGTGAGTGGTATGGGAACCTCGGGAACACACGCACGCTCACTTTCTGCGTGCTTTTCCCTGTCAAACTATTTGCAGAAGCACCTTCATATTTCAGTAGAAGCACAGACATGGTGCTCAGAGGCTAACAAGCCACAGGCACGTTTATTTTGTCATGTCCAATGCTCAGGAGCACTGTTTCAAAGGTTTTCTGGGCTGGTTAATGCGAGCAGCCTCTGGAATTGCCCAGAGATAGGACGTTTTCTAGAGGACAGCTCTGAAATGGCCCTATTTGTAAAAAATACTTCAAACGTGTTGTTTTCCCTCATTCCCACAGACGATCATCTGAGCCACGACAACAGCACCTCACCCAACTCCACGGCGGGCTTACACGGGAACTCCACGCACAACGAATTCACCACCATCGTCCTGCCCGTGCTTTACCTCATCATCTTCCTGGCAAGCATCCTCCTGAATGGCCTAGCCGTGTGGATTTTTTTCCACATCAGAAATAAAACAAGTTTTATCTTTTACCTCAAAAACATCGTGGTTGCAGACCTTCTCATGACGCTGACGTTTCCGTTCAAGATAATCCAGGACTCACAGCTGGGACCGTGGCACTTCAACTCCTTCCTGTGCCGGTACACCACGGTCCTGTTCTACGCAAACATGTACACCACCATCGTCTTCCTTGGGCTCATCAGCATCGACCGCTACCTGAAGGTCGTGAAGCCTTTCGGAGACTCCAGGATGTACAGCATCACCTTCACTAAGGTCCTGTCCGCCTGCGTTTGGGTGGTAATGGCGTTCCTCGCCTTGCCAAACCTGATCCTGACCAACGGCTACCCCACGAGGAGGAACATCGATGACTGCCTGAAGCTGAAGTCCCCCCTGGGGGTCAAGTGGCACACGGCCGTCATCTACATCAACACCGGCACCTTCGTCGTGGTGCTGATCGTACTGATCGGATGTTACATTGCCATCTCCAGGTACATCTATAAATCGAGCAAACAGTTTATTAGCTCCTCAAGCAGAAAGCGAAAGCACAACCAAAGCATCAGGGTGGTTGTGGCTGTATTTTTCACTTGCTTTCTGCCCTATCACTTGTGCAGGATACCCTTTACCTTTAGCCATCTGGACAAAATCTTAGATGACTCTGCACATAAAATCTTGTATTACTGTAAGGAAATGACCTTGTTCCTGTCTGCATGCAACGTCTGTCTGGATCCAATAATTTACTTCTTCATGTGTAGATCATTCTCACGAAGGCTGTTCAGAAAATCAAACATGCGAACGAGGAGCGAGAGCATTAGATCGCTCCAGAGTGTCAGGAGGTCAGAAGTGCGCATATACCATGAATACACCGACGTCTGAAGGCACCCAGAGACTTTTGCTGATTTGTGAGAATATTTGTATATCATGTAAATAAAACACACCTTTGAGTATCTGACCATGGAAGTTCATTGAGGAACGTGCAGTCACGTCCAGCTTTTCCGACCCAGGTCACTGACATCCATCTCAAAATTCAAAAGCTCAAACCCACCTGGAGCCCAGGTTCACTTCAGAGGGGCTCAGGGGGTGTGCTGGTTGGGTGGGTGGGTGGTTTTTTTAAAGCCAACAGAAGCTAAGGATGCCTCAGCTCGGGAAGCAACCCAGAGCTCCAAGAGGCTCCAGCCAAGATGGACAAGCTCTGGCTTTGGAGTGGGATCCAACAAGATGAGCCAACACCCCTGGGGTCCAGGGGATGGCCGCCGAGAGGCTGGCGGCAAGGG